CAAATTTTAAATTAAAAAAAATTATTTTGATAAAATTGATGAGTTAGTGCATTAGTGGAATGATTAAAATATCTCCTTCACAGATCCCAAATATAAAAACTCCCCCACACCAAAGTTTAGTGATAGGTACTTTGTCCACAAGTAAATCTGTCAGTAAATCAAACAGTGCTGCACACATCTTGCTGCAAAACCAAAAACCCAAGGTACAGAGTATGTAGTTTGATAAAAAAACAGATGGACCTAAGCAGATGAAATCCTAAGTATCAGAAGTTAATGACATCTTGGAGGTAGACGTTTCCTGTTCAAGTACTTTTCAAGAAATATGAAATCAAACATGCTCATCCTTAGCTAGGCAAGTTCCATGAAGAAAATGAAATCAAACTGGCATAATGACCACTACAAGCTAAAGTTTTGTTATAAGAGGCCAAAAGTCTAAGAGATTATCTTGATCAGTTTTTATCACAGCCTTGATCAAGCCTAATTCATTCAACTGCAGTCCTTGAGTCTCTACTAGTCTAATGGGAATATTAGGTAGTAAGCACCAGACATTTTTAATCCCAGAATTACAATTCTTAATCCTGTGATTGACATTTGAGTCCTGAGCAATGAGGCCCAAGTTATTTCATTTGGGAGCCAGGCCGACGTTGAATTACCATTAGAATTCATTCTGCTGAGGAGGAACAAAAATATATCAGGTTTAGTATTGGAGAAAATTATTTTTGATTGCTCCTACTCCATTTTTAAACAATACCTCAAATACCTCTGTAAATGTGCTCCAGTCTGAAATCACTGAAGAACTTAAAACACTGTAAAAGTTTCTGCCTCTAACAAACTGATGCTCACTATAGGTATTCCAACACAATAGCATCTTAAGGAATGCTCCATACACTTACAACAGCAGTGAAAATATTTATTGTAAAAACCTTGAGTTTACACAGAATAATTATGTCCTGCACTGAAATTGCTGTTATTCTGCTGCAACAAAAAGAAAAGCAAATTCCTGACCTCTTTGACTCTTCAGCTACTGTAAAGATTCAAACTTTCATAAGAAAGGAGTACTGGTTTAAATACTTCAGTTGATAATACATAACCAAGTAGTCTCCAGCTAGCCCTGAACACACCGTATACGGCTGCATAAAGAAAATACTTCAGAGTCCTCAAGAAGTATTACTTATCTGGGCCAGCCTCCATCTCCCCCTCCTTCTTATCCCAATCTTTCATAGATAGGCTTGAAATGTTTTGCAGCTGTCCAATACTAAGGCTGAAGAATTCAACAACCACAGCACTATAAAAACACAGGGTGAAAAGCAGCTACGTTCAAGACCTGTTACAGAACTTGAAGAGATTCCCGACTGCAAACTTCTTCAGCAAAATCTGGATAAGGTCCTGAGAGCAGATAAACCTGTAAAATTATTCCTTCTTCCTTCCAGATAATTCTTCAAGTGAGTGCCTACCATATAACTAGTGCAGACTATGCATAACTGCATTGAGTTTTAGCCAACCTCTGACAGCCAAAAATATCAACCACCACCACTGCACACATTTTCTTACTGAGATTTTCAGAAGGTCTGCATAATCTTGCAACTACAAAGTTAGTGAGCCATTTCATATTTCCTGAAACTAAACAGCACATCAGATGATTCACCAATTAGTGTATTCATGAAGCTTTAAGAACCAATCAAAATTTCATTTTTGTTGAAAAATTTAACAGAAATGTCCAGCTGTATGCATGGAGAGAGCATGTGGGCTCTTCGCCTTTATTTAACTTAACTAACAGCTACGTTAGCTGGTGAAAAATATTCAGTGTGTCAAAGTTAATTTATCAAGCTGACAAAGTATAAGGGCTCCAGAAGGTATAGCATACATTTACTAAATTTTAAATACAACATTTTAGCTAGATGTAGCTCAAAGATTAAAATAAGTTGTCCAACAACCAAACCGCACAAATACTTATCAGTCCAGGGCACTTCTTATTGCATGCTTGTTTCAAACTAACGCATAGGCCAGCATATCAGAAAAGCTGATCATCCTTCAGACCTCAAACCCCATAAATCAAAATGTGTTTTTAAACTAGGTGGATATCTTTGGAAGATAGAGGGCTTGTCAGTACAATGCAGGCCATGATCAGATGGAGGGAAGGCACTGCATGTTGCTCAACACAACCAAATCCCTAACCTCCCGCAATACCACAAGGTAAAACTAAGTGCTAATTTCCCCCGAAGGTTGAAACTAGGAAGCACAACTCTTGGGGAAACAAGGCAAGGAAACCAGCCTAAAGTAGACAGTTATTCAATAATTACTTAACTAGCCAACGTATTCCAATACTTTGCAATAAAATCAGTACTCTAGGAGTTTATGATGGAGCATTTACATCAAAAGTTCTTTCATCTACAAAGTCAGGAATGTGCAATTTAGTAAACAAAAAGGTATCCTGTTTAAATCTTACATTTGTTTTCACTATTTGCAGCAATAAATAAAATATCACCACTTTAACTAAATTTTAAGAATAGATAAAATTGCTGTATGGAAGCTACATGGAGTGATCTGAATCCATGAAGTATCTATCAAAAATTGAACTATTTTGCAGGAAGCTATCAGAGGATGAGATACTTTACAACTATTAACAAAAACCATCACTATCGTTTGATTAGACTAAAATCCATCTCTAAATATAATGAATGAGCCCCAAAAATGCATGCTATACCATCTTGGGTTATAAGTCCGTCATAGAAACATCCAATTTGAAGAACAGTCAGTCATCTCTCTAGAACCTTGCTACAGAGTGACAGGTTTCACATGGTCAAAGAAGACTTAAAAACCCCTTTCTGCCTGAACACAGTTGATTTCTAGTCCCTTGCACTTGCTCCATCTTTTTTAGATGTACCTACCATCATTAAAATAGCAACAGCAGAGAGATTCTAGATATTCCTACAAGCACTAACCCAGGCATTTTTCCAATGCTCTCATACACATGAAGTCATGTCAAGCTACTGCTACCCAACTGTCTGAATTCACCACCTGATTTGTATTGCTAATGTAATCCTGAAAAACAGAGTAGAGGCAGGACATTTAGACCAACTGGAAAATCAAAACAGATCTCATCAGCTCAGTCCACCAGGTCACAAAATTGGTTTGTTTTCTCTCTTTTTGTAGTTTGCTTTGGATTGACAAATAATTCACACGAGAAGTATAGCTATTTCACTCTGCCATATTTAGTTATGTATGAAAATGGAAAGAATTGAATCAATTCTGACAGAAACTCTATTGCTAAGACCATTTAGATATAAGGTCCATTTGAGTATCTTGGTTTACAGACTGACAACTGAATGAAGTAGGAGGTTGCTAACTTGGAAACTTGCCTCCTTTCAAATGTCTCACTGCAGCAAACTCATCAGCTGAGGATATTCAAGGTAACAGGGGTTATGCTCAGGTTGAGAGGTGCCTGAGATCTTCAGCAGGAAGCCTCTAATGGCACAAACTTGCATGACACAAGGTCTTGAGGTGCACGGATCACACGTCAAGATTTCTATGGAAGTAACATTCCCAAACAATACTGGAATTAGCTCGAGTGAAAAAGCATCTTTGGTTTGTGTGGTATGGCCAGGGATCACATCTCACAGAATGGGATATGGTGCCATAAAATGAACAGCATAAAATTTATCACTTACAATCAGAAACAGTGCAGAAAACTTCAACAAGCATTAGAGGAGAGGGAAAAAAATAAGAGGGGAGCATTCCTTAAGTACTCAGAGAATGGAAAGAGACATGTACATGCTGGGTTCATAAGACCACATCACCAGATGAAACACAACTCTGATGAAACAAATACTCAGAGACAAACGTATTCCATGGGATTAAGCTACTGTAATTCTGTGCAAGTATTGAAATACAAAGTTAACAACAAGAGCAAAAATAACTCGATTTACTGCTCCTACAATTCCAAGAAACCATTCATAACTTCGAGTCAGATGCTCATAAAGACCACTCGCAAACTTTTAGGGGCGCTCGGGAGGGAAGGCGGCCTGACGCTTAACGCACGCCCCTCGCAGAAGGGTTAACGGGAGACTGGAGCCCCGAGGGCTCCTTGGTGGTCATTCCGCCAGGTGATTTCCACACGGACTCGGGCACAGGACACCGCCGACCGCCCCGCTGCTCCTGTGCCGGCCCACGACCACCCCGGTGCCGACACCGGCAGCCCCGGCCGGCCGGGCAGGTCCGAGCCCCGCGGCCGAGGCTCCGCCGCGAACGCTCAGCGGGGCCGGCACGGAGCCGCCCCCCGCGCCGCTCCCGCCTCCCCCGCCCCGGGCGCCCTTCTCCCGGCCGCGGGGACAGCCGAGTCCTCGCCGTGCCTTCCCCCGGCTCCCTCGGGCCGGGACGGGGCGGCAGCCCCCGCCGCCCTCCCGCACGGAGCCGCGGCCTCGGCGGGCGGCGGCGCCCGTGGCCGCCGGGGGGCGAGCGGCGCAGGCAGGTCCCGCCCGCCCGCCGCGCCCGCGCCCCGACCGGAGGCAGCACCTACCGCTGCGCCGTCCCGGCGGGGGCAGCGGCGCCTCAGCGCCGTCCCGGCGGGGGCAGCGCCCGCAGCATCCCCGGCCCGGGCCCGCCGCCGGAGCCGCTCCCGGAGCGACCGGACCGAGCCCCCTGCCTCCCTCCCTCCGCCCAATGTAAAACAGTTCCCCGGGCCCCGGAGCGGAGACACCGGGAGCGACACCTCGCCGGCCAATGAGAGCCGGCCTGGCCCCCCGCGGCGCCAATGGGAGCGGCGGCTTGGCGGGGGCGGGGCGTCGCCCAGCCAACCGGGCCGCGGCGCTGGCGCTGACCCGCTAGGCTGTCTCCGGTGGCCTCCATTGACCACCATCTTGGAGTCGGGCGCCATGCCCGCGCCGGGAATGGGCCGGCCGCTCGGCGGCCATCTTGGGTCCGGGCGGAGTGACGTGAGGGGGCGGGCGGCGGGGAAGGGGCGGCCGGGCGGAGCCCCCGCCCCGCCGGGAGCCGGCATTCCCCGCGACAGCCGCGGCAGGCGGAACGGGAGCGGCGGAGGGAAGCTGCCTTCGCACAGCCCCCGCCCCGCCGGGAGCCGGCATTCCCCAGACAGCCGCGGCAGGCGGAACGGGAGCGGCGGGGCTGAGCTGCCTTCCAGCCCCGCTCCCGGGCGGCCGGATGCCGCGCAGGCGTCAGGCGGCTCCTTGCAGGGAGCAGGAAAAGCTTACGCGTGGAGAGCCGTGGAGACACGTCGGTATTGTTGGGAGTAATTCTCCGTTCGATGCAGTTTCCCTTCCTCCGTATAATGGAAGGAAAATCCATGGCTTGGCCTGAGTGCAGGTGAAGTAGCATCCGATCAGGTCGGGTAAAGGAATCGCTCTGTGCTGTTCCGAGTAGCAGAACACATCGCATCTTCCTGTGTCTGGCAGACACACTGGGACACCACAGGGCAGAGGGTGGCATGGGAAAAGGTGCATACATGTCAGGCTCGGAGGGAAGGCTCCTTGGGTTTACTCTGCCGCAAGCAGAGAATGGCAGGAGCCGGTTCTCTTGGCATCTTTCTCAGAGACCTTTAAGCAGGAGACAGACTTTGTGCTCAGCAAGCTTGCAGGCAGTGCTAAAGCCAGGAGCAGTGAGTGCTGAAGGACAGAGCTGCCATTTCAATGCATCCAGACCGCTTGGGGGAATGACCTGACACGAAGTCTATAAACTCAGCAAGGACGAATACAAGGAAATTTGACAAGTCCTGCACTTGGGAAGGAACAGACCTCTGCAACAGTACCGGGTGGTGATTGATGGGCTGTGGAGCAGCTTTGCAGGAAGGGATGCGGGGTCTTGTTGGACAGCAGTGTGTCCTGGTAGTGAAGGTGGCCAAGAGCATCCCAGGTCATACTGCTGGAAGCATAACCAGTAGGCCAAAGGAAGTGATTATTTATTTCTGCTCAGCTACTTGTGGAATGGTGTATCCAGTTTGGGGTCCCAAAATGCAAACAAAATGTCAACAAACTAAAACAAGTTCAGTGGAAGCCACCAAGTGCTTCGGGGGAAGGTGCAGCACTTGTCCTGTGAGCAGAATCCGTGCTAACCACCCTGGATTAACTTGAAGAAGAGACACCTTAAAATACTTCAGCATACAGAACACAGCCTAGCATATACATTACCAGCAAAAAACCCCAAAGATGAAATAATACACTGTATAAGCAATTCTGCACCTTGGAAAAGCATGAAAAATATAACGAAACATACATAATTGATGTTAGTTGCATTCAAAATTATACTGATGAGGCCAATGTGTGAATTTACATTTCTAGAACAGGGTAGCACTCATGAAGGATTCATGTGCACCCTGCACAAATGCAGCTAAATTGCCACTTGGCAGCCCTACATAAACAGTGCAAGAAAGAATGTGCTAACAGGTAGCAACAACAGGCAAAATAAATACAGAGCCAGCATAGCCAGGATCTGCTTAAGATTTCAACACAGGGAAATGCAAAGTCCTGCACCTGGGGAGCAGCAGCCCTAGGTGCCTGTACATGCAGGGGGCTGTCCCAGCAGCTTTGTGGGAAGGACGTGAGGGTCCTGACGGGCACCAAGTTGAACATAAGCCACACACCCTTGATGCAGAGAAGGATAACAGTATCCAGGGCTGCATGCTGCCAGCAGGTTGAGGGAGTTGATTCTGCTCCTCTCCTCAGCACTGGTGAGGCTGAACCAGCTAAGCTCCACAGTACAAGGGAGATACAAAGCTACTGGAGAGAGTTCAACAGAGGGTCGCTAAGGTATTAGGGGATTGGAGCACCTCTCCTGTGAAGAGGGGCTGGAGGAGATGGGGCTGTTCTGGCTGGAGAAGAGAAGGCTTAGAAGAGGAGCTTATTGATGTGTATAAATGCCTGAAGGGAAGATATAAAGAGGATGAAGCCAGGGGTTAAACCACAACAGTCTTTTCTGCAGTTATCCAGCACTGACTCCACTTGTATAAAAATTCCAAAAGTCGGTTTTAACCTCAACTTATAGGCTCGCTCACTTTTTAATTAATTCTACAGCAAATGGTAGCATCTTCATTTCCAATATGCAGTAAAAATTTTTATGCTAGATACCTAAAACTTATAAAAAGTATAAAGTTTTAGTAACATAAACCCTCAGATTTGCTACATCTGTTTATATTTGTAGAGTTGGTCCTCTTAATATTACCATTTTTGTCATGATTAAGGATCAGCCAACAGTTTTCATCTAATGAAAACACCTTCATGAAAATTCTGGCCTGCTACTAGGGCAAAGAAGTTATAACTGGCTGGAGGGAAATAATCAACTGCTTTATTTCATTTTGAAGATCTGATGGTAGAATGGAGGGAAAGAAAGGAAATAGGCTGCTACATGCTATAAACAAGAAGAAAACTTCCAGCAGAATTAGGCTGTGGGCAGAGCTCAGCAGGATGAAGACTGCAGCTGGTGGTTATCATGCCCAGGCTTCACCAACCTGACCCACACAGCTATAAGCCATACTTTGATTTTGTGAGGAAGCATTGATGTAAGGGACCAGCTCTGAGCCCTCAAAGCATGATGGAAATTGCTGTGGCTTTTCTGTACTAATTGGGCATCTGTACTAATTGTTGGCTTCTGAAGAGCTCTGTCAGTAAGACGGGGAAGGGTATGAGAAAGCCATAGACTGTTGTGGGTGCTCCAAACTATGAGGCTGCAATGAACATATTGGAGGAAATCAGGTCACTTCCTTCCTCAGGGTCTGCACACACCCTTGAATGAAAAGCAATTCCTTGGGGAAATTTCTGGGCAACACCTTCTTTCACAAGGCAATTCTGGTGAAGGGCAATGATCTGTGCATTGTAAGAGGACAAGGGGATGCTGTGAGGAAACACCACTTGGAAGAAGGTGATCAGAGGCTGGAAACTGAGCTGGCTGCTACCTCCCACATTGGCTTGCTTTCATCTTTCAGTGTTTATTTCCCAGGCATGCCGCCAGCCTGGGGTGTGTGCTGCCAACAATGCAGCGCTGCGGGGCATGCTGTGCACAGTGCCCTCAGTCTGCCACTCCTGGGTGACACTGCCCACTTTCTGTGCCATGGGCCACCGTGGTTGCTACACCAGCCCTGAGCTGCCACATTAACCATGGTTCCTTAGCCTGTATCTGCTGGATCCTTGCTACCCTGTGTGTCCCTGGCTGATCCTGCTTCTGTGTTGCAAATTGTCTGACCCTGGCAACCTCTGCAGCTCTGGCCCCAATTACTCTCTCCCACTCCCTTGTCCAGAGTTTATCCTCTCTGCAGCCTAGAGCAATTCTGAGAAAGCAAATGCAGGCATAAACCTTAAATAATTCTTTTTCATTCCAGGTGGAACTTAATAAGTTTGATGAAGTTAGTCAATGTACATATTCTTCCCTCACTCCTAACAGCATCAGCCACGTACCAAAGCTCAGTGTCAGGGCTTGTAAAACTGAATTGGAGTTCAGCAATTCAAAAGAGCACTTTTCAGTTCTGGTTTATGTGGCAAGCAGCCTTCTCTGCAGACCCAGCATCTGTGCCCAGAAATCTGTATGTGTGGAACTGAGGTGCAGCTACAGTGGTAGGAATTTCCTGTGCCAGGGTGCTTTTTCTAGGCCATGGTGACACACAGCCAGAGGATTGCCCATGGGAATCAGAACAGTCATTAGAAGTGTGAATACTCATTGCTGCCTTCTTACTTCCAGTCTTTTTCCATTCAGAGCGAGATGAACACTACTCTCTCTGAATAATTAGTGATGGAAAACCTAATATAATAACAAGGACAGAGAGCAGGAGTAAAACAATATGCACTTTCATTATCCTGCTGAGGAAGTCTTGGTGTCTATGGATAAATCTTGTCAGCAAAGGATACCTTGAAGCAAAAGGCTGATGAGCATGTACTAGATAAACCACAAAATTTAGCAAGAGGGACTTGCAATAGGGACAGAGACCTCTGCAAAGCAGAAGTGCACAATCCTGGAAAAGGTAGAGCAAATGCAGGGTCTTGTCTGGTGTCTAACAGAAATAATCCCAACATGGCACAGCTTCAGGATTAAGAATAGAGGAACCCTCATCAGCAGGCCAGCCAGCTCCTGCTGGGCACCTTCACCTACCAATTGCTGCCCTGCTTTGCCCTCACTGACCTCTGGCAGTTTTGCTTGCATGTAAAATCAGTCACAGCATGGTGACCTGTTTTTTCACAAGCAGACTCATATTAATTTTACAGGACCAGAAGTTCTATCTTGCCTAACAAATAGAAGGCAAAGTTGCATTTAAAAATGCAAGAACCTCAGGTATCAGAAGAAAAATATATTTTTGAAATGTTGACTGAACATCCAGCATACCTGCCCTTTCTTTGAAGGGCAGTCCCTGGCAAGAAAAGAAAAGGCAAGGCTGGTAAAGTGACTGGACAGAGCTGGACAATATAGGTCCAAGTATTTTTAATCTGGGCTAACTGAACCTGACTAGAAATAGAGAGGCATGAAATCAGGATACCCCAGTGTAATCACTTTGATGGAGGAAGAGCTCAGAAGGAGCTGGTTACTTGCTTTCCAGTCCTTTGCTTTCCTCTGCCTCCTCCACTTCACCTGAGCTGGGGAAAAGACCTAGAAGCCTTTCTGATTTTTTTGGAAGCTGAGTCATTTGGGTGGATGAAATAAGAACATCTATGATGCTCTTTTCTCCATTGTTCTGTACTTTGAATAAGCACTGACATCAAGGCTGAAACATAAACTTTCTGATTTGTTTGCAGGTTCCCCTCTTTGCATGGTTGTTAATAGTGACTCCTCCTGCAAGAAAAAAGGACAGCTGGGCTCCAGGACAGCTTCAGGCAGGCTTAACACATGCAGTGACATTCAAAAGTACTCTGACGTGTCCAAGCACCACCCAAGACTGTAGTATGCATTCTTCATCTTTCTTTTACTGAGTAATACAAAGCAACTGCTAGAACCAGTCCCTAGCCTACTGTCTTTTGCTTGTTTGTTTGTTCATTAAATAACTTACAATCATCCCAAAAGTTTAGAAGTCTGTTATTGCAGGTACAAGGAAGGTATAATTTTAAAATATTTTCCTTTGAAATGGATTTATTTGTGATCTAATCTGGTGGTCTGTTACTAATGCATGAATTGGCATACTTTTGTCACCAATAAACAATATCTACCATGGTCTTAAAATGACAGGATCTAAAGTTTTTGAGAGGGAGCTTGACCATCTGCAGAAAATCAGTGCTTAGCATTTTCTGAAAACCAGGTCCATCTTCCAAGTATTTCAAACTGAATACATAAAAACAGAGAAACCTCAAATCATTAGTTACTTTTGTTACTTTTGAAAATTTTAGCCAGGGAACATTTTTTTAGTGCTGGTCATGGAATCATTAATTATCACTGCATAGAATGTAATAACAAAGCAGAGATCCCCAATGGATGAAAGCAAGCCACTTCTAGCTTTTTTTTTTTTATATAGCAATAATAAAACATATTATTATGCACTTCCAACCATGAATGTTCTCCAAAGCAATTTGATATTAAACTCCAAATCATCTGACTGGATGAGTTTTTACAGATTGTTACAGCAGAGCAAGCCAGGAATGTTATTAGAGTGCTTGAGGCACAGTGCTGTTTCAAGGAAAATGAGGAACAATTAAAAATTTAAGGAGTCCCAAAATTCCTTTTCTCAAAGGGGATCTGTGGAACTGTTAAGATTAGAGCCATTCCTATCCAAGCAGCACTATTCCTGAGGAGATCTTTGTTTGTGCCTGTTTAGTGCAAAGGATCTGGTTTATTTCACCAGGGCAGAATAGTGATGTGAGGTGGTGGTTCTGTTCTCTGCACTTGTTTTGTTTTCCTTCCTTTATTCAGCAGCAATGCATTTGCACAATTTTTTAGACTACAGCAACAGTAGGAAGAGGTTGGGTTGAAGCCTAATTACACCACCCAGATGCATGCCAGGTTTGTATTTTCAGTGCTTTTTCCCTCTGACTGTCCACTGTACTGCAGGATTGGCAGACCATACCTTCCGTGATTTAACATGGAAGACTGCTTTTCAGCACTTATAAGAGCAATTTTAATCTGCAGAAATCACCATTAGTTAAAGAGAGGTGAAGCAAAATTGCATGTGACACCTGACACCAGCATCAACGGGGTTGTGTTCCACCAACCAAGGTTTTTTACTGAACAACCTAAAAAACTGCTTTGAAAAATCTCTTTGTTCTCCAGATCACTTGACTGTCAGCACAACTTGAGTATAAATCAAAGCAGCTGGACAGTCTCCGAATATCTGTGCAGGTTTTATTCTTCTAAGGCAATGCCTACCATAATACCTTATGCCTGGGAGACATTCAGATAGGTGGCTTCACTCCACTTGGAGATTTCCACACTTGAAGCAAAGAAGTTTTGAACTTGTGTGTTTTCAAAGCACCGAAGATCAGCAATATAGGATTTAGATATTTTACTTTCATGAAAAATCAGATGCTAATCAGTAATGGCTGGTGTTAGTGGCTACTAATGTGATTTCTAAAGGCAGCAAACGCTCCTCAATAAGGCCAGCAGCACTACAGTGGTCCCTGGGTAGCCCAGGCTGTCTGAGGAGGAGTGAAACAGGCTAGGTTAGAAATGAAGAGGGACAAAATTCAGGGCAATAGGCAAATTGAAGAAGTTGGGAAAGTGTTAGATGTGAATATTAAACCTAGAAGGGAATTAAGATTGTCTTAAATGTGCTATAATTTGAAAATATTTTACAATTGACTTATTTTTTAAATGAGAGGAAAGTTTTATCACATGTTTGGCTAACTAAATAGAAGCTAATAACCTTATAAAGTAGTTTTTAAATCTTTGTCTCCTAGGCGAGATCAGAATATAGTTATTAGCCTGCCTACCTTGCCATTGGCACTAAGAGAGCATAGATTTAGTTTAGGTAAGTCAACTCCTGGATCTCCTGCCTCACACACCCACACACAAACAGACCCAGAGTGGTTTGCCAATGTCATTAACAATGCACTGAGCACATCTGTCAAGCATAGTGCTCTTCCCAAGCCTGTTCTGGTGGGGTGACAAAGAAAACAGTGAGCTTTGGGGCACTGTTGTTGTTCCCCACAGGCATACCACATTGTTGGGGATCTTTTCCAGATGCTGTTTTGGACTTCAAACGGGTTCTTGGGATTGACTTTGCTTAAGTCACCCAGGTTGCAAAATGGGAACAACCAACTGTATGTCTCATCAGACCTTCACCAAGTAATTCCAAAAGTGCCACACTTCATTGCCAGCTACAAAGACATTCTTGCATTTAGGATGGAGTCCTCAATGTCTGTCAGGACCAACATGGACTCCAGAAACAGAGTCACAAGCATGTCTGAGAAAGCAAGCAGCAAATTTTGGTTGTTTTCAAGCCTCTTCTGAGGTGAGAGCAAGCCTCAGGGAAACATCTCAAAGTGTGAACCCATGACCAGATTAAAGGAGATTTAAAACACAGATTAAAAGGAGCCCTTATTAGAGAATACATTAGAAGAAGTAGGACAACCAGAACATTTTCTCAGGATGTGCTCAGAACCACACAGGAATTGTTTCAAAGAGCAGTGGCTCATAACTGAAAGAGACAGTTTAAAGTGTTTTTGGAGATCATTCTCTCATCTTTACCACAGGCAAACAGTCTGTCCACATTCCAGCACAAGGGGCATCTCATTTATTACTAAATGATGCTACTTAAATGTTGGCAGTTTGAAGCAAGGGTGCAATGCTAGATTTTTATGCTCTTTAACACTCTTCAGCATTTTTGGGATGAAAGCCCATTGAGTTAACCTCTGCACAGTGGCTGGGTGAGAGCACAATTTATGTTCAAATACTCCTAGTTCCAGTGCTTATTTACCTAAGTGATTGTATTGTCTCCAGTCAGGCTATTTCCATTGATAAAGACTGTTCTTGTTCTAAAGGAATGTACTAGTAGGTTTTTTTTGTTTTTGACTGACAAGTAAATTGACTTTTAGCTGGCAATATCCCTAAAGTATATGTAGCTGTATGACTAGAACAAGATTTTTCTTGAAGTAACTCAAACATTCATATTGAACTTGCCTTAAAATTTAAATGTCAGTTTCCTATCTTTGAAATATCTAACTTCCACTGATTCCAGTGAAACAGATAATAATTACTCTTGAGGATTTGAACCTGGAGCATAACAGAAGGCAAAATATAACTCACAGAAATGCATAATAGAAAAATAATTATATTGTAAAAAGAACTTGAAGTACTGTTGCAGTGAATATTCTGCAACTGGATATTTCTTTTAAAAGAATTTCAAGATTTATAAATCTGGTTCTACAGTGTTTTAGAATTCAAATCTGAGATAGACCATGTTTTTTTTCAATGCCACAAACATATGAATTTAGTTTAAAGTGGTTCAGCCTACAAGAATGAGTATGATCTTCTTGACAGGTTCTATTTTCTCCTATATGTATTTGATAATGTAAGCTACAGAATCAGTTGGTTGTTCCTGTGTAAAGACTGTACCTCTGTGAAATTCTAAAAGCTCTCAAATTGGTGTGCTATAGACAATGAGATACATTGACTGTTATAAGAACAAGATATGTATTAAGCTTTGATGTTAGCTCTCACCTGTGGGAAAAAATAGAAATTGGCAACAGCCAGCATTTAACTTTGTGTGACAGGAAATGTAAGCTATGAGGTTAGTCCCAAAATCCAGCTGATTTTGGTCAAGGAAGTCAAGTTTTCACTTTTAAGCACAAACCACTGTAGATATAAACAGGCAGTTGTACCTGCAGACAGACAACTGTCTGCCCAAATGACACTTAAAACTTCTGGTGTGCTTTTGAGTGAGGAGCATTTTGATATACTGAATCTGGATATGCTTACCTTGGATTCAGTTGAACATAACAGATTTTCAGGTACCTTGTGGTCTCACTTTGTGAAATTGAAACATTCAGGTAGCTTTCCACTCTTCATTATCTGTACTATATCACTTATCAACCAACTGAAGGCTCTATATTTTAATCCTTGGAAAGACTGCTACACCTCATATTCCTCAGAATCTCCATAGGCCACACAAGTAAAATTTGGACAGTAAATCTGAACTTCTCATTCAGAGCTGGACCTGAGTCCATCATTCCCTGGGCTTGGCATCTGCTTTTTGAGTGAAAATTACTGTAGTGCCATCTAGTGCTACTCTGCTGATCTTTGTATTTGCTGTATAGTTTCTAAGGACATTGCTCTGGATTCAATACTTCTACCTCTGAACACTCTGGAACCTTGAAAATGCAATTACTTTTCTTGGAAATATTCCCTGCTTTTTCTCAGGCAAGTCATCATATAGATTATATACATCTCTATAACAGACTTTGCAGCAATGCATTAAAATTGGTTTTGAGCAGTGTGACAGTATGGAGTGGGGAAGGAGCTGGAGATTATCTTGCAAAGAGCATGTGTTCCCATATCTTAAAATGTGCAGCTTTCAAAAATAGGAATGCAGAAATTGCTCTGGAAAGTATGCCTATAGAAGGGAAGGAATCCTTGTTTCAAGGATGATTTTGAAGCATCAAACCCAGCCCAGTTGATGAAGAAACTGTTCTTTATTCAGGGTGCTATATCTGTTGTAAAACTCACAGGGATTGTCACAGAAGAAGAAGACTTCCAAGACATGCTGTGCAATTCTCTTCACTAAAATGTACCTGGTTCATGTAGCAATTCTCCCTGTTAACCCATCCAGGTCTCCTACATTCCCAGAATGGGAGGACTAGAGGATTTTGGTATGGATATGGGACAGCTGCCCTAACTGTAGTTGAAAACCAATCCCCAAAAGGCAGCATCTGGCTGTCTGCAGCCTGAAGCAGTGTGCCTTAAGACACCTAATGCCATAGTTCTGAACTGGTTTTAAAGTATTCCTACAAAGACAGTCCTAGTGAGAAACCAGTTGCCTGGGGGCTTGTGAAGATCCTGCTGGGTTCCTATCTACAACTGCAGCAGTTTTTGAATCTGACCTCAAAACAGTTTGAGGTCAAGTAAACCTGCTTTGCTAAAAGTGACTGATTTTGTGAGCTGTGGTACAATGTGATCTGTGGCCCGTGTGATTTAAAAAAGTAGCTGCTGTTGCCAGATGTTCACATGTCTCCCCTGACCTCTTATTTAAAGTAGCTGGCAGCAGCTACCCACCAGCAGTCCAGCAC